ATTGATGTGGCTATAAAAAAATCAATTCCAAATTGTAGATAATTGTTTAAGCTATCAGACTCGAGGCTCATGTAGAAGAGTTGTCCCGGGACAAGTGTGTTTTCTATTAGAGTCGATATCAATCTGTCAGAAGAGCCTTTTGATTTTCAAAATTTTAGACTAAATAGTTGAGTAATACTTTTGCTCTGCTCTCCCCAACTCTTTCTTCCTTTCCCTTAAGAAAACTCCCTCTTTATTGTTAGCAAGACATCTTGGGGAGCAGCCAGAAAGTCGCCGTCTCTTTCTGTGAGGAAACAGACCCAGCCAGCTTTGGGCAGGAGGCTGTGGCAGGGAGAGCTTGTCTTGGGGATGCCCTGGAGTTGGGTGCTGAATTCCCAGGTTGGAAGTGTTGGTGGGAAGGCTCAGACCCTTTACCAGCCATTGGGGTGGGCTACAAGCCTGGATTTTGTGTCATAAGAAAAGATCCTGCTGATAATGTGTGGGACCTGCATTCAAACTGGCACCTTGCTGTGGCTCTTTCCTCACTCTCACAGATCCCCTGACCCAAATTCCAGCACTGGGGCCAGCAGTTGGTGTTGAACTTGCAGCATCCCTGAGGCTGCAGCTGCTTGTTGTGTATCTGATAACGTGCAAGTCAGATATTTTGCTCCACTAAACTGATGTTTTGTTGTTCCATGACTCACAGCTTTTCCTTTGCTATTGATGATTCCCCCCCATTTCAATCTTTAGCTTTTTCTCATTCTGTCCTGGCCACAACCATCCAGGACAGCAAGGTCACAGATCCTTGTCCCTCTCCTCTGCTACATGGCCTCAGCTCCTCTGCCTTACCAGGGTTGAAATGAAATAATTCTGAGTTTTATGTGGCCTCATCTTTGTCAAATCCCAGTGAATGTGGTTACATGATGCCATCAGAATGATTCATTCCCATAATTACATATGTTCTGAGGGGTTATTCCCATTGTATTATTAAAAACTAGTGATGTTGGATTTTTGGCAGGGATTGTCTTCCTCGTATGATCTACAGATTTTGTCAATTAAATGAAGGAAAAGTAGATTTCCAAGAGTTCAGAACAAGACCAGACTTGCACTCAGAGCCCTTTTTCAGTGTGGTATTGAGCTCCTCTGTTTCATTAACAGGATAAAGCAGCCTCAGTCATCTCCCTCTATTGCAGCAGTTTCTGGCAGAGCACAAGTGGATTTTGTAGCTCATCTTCAAAAATCACAGCAGAAGATCAGAATCAGAAGTTTATCACCACAGCAGCTTTCCCAGCTCAGTTCCTCAGCCTTGGCTTCCCAGGGATACAGGAGCAGGAGCAGGGGGGCTCCTTGGCAAAAGGTTCCAGGTGGGACAGGAAAGACAAAGTGATCCTGGATTGTTGCTTTGAATATGGAGTTCCCAAAATGGTGACTGAAGGAGGAAAAACTGAAGTCAAGAAAAAGGCAGAGAGGTGTAAGAGGGCTTTGAGAGCTCAGGCTGAGCTGTGGAGCAGGGTGCAGGCCTGGCAGGGTTGGGGAGGCTCAGAGCTGGGCTGCAGAGCCCTGGGCTTCACCCTGGGATCATCTGCCAGCACTGCAGATCCAGCAGGCAGTGCTCTGGGAGATAAAGCACTTAAAGAGGAATGTTTCCTCATAGTTTGATTTGAACAGTCAGGAAAAGTAATTTCTGGGCTCCTCTGTGGCCCTGTCAGTGCTCTAAACCAGCATTTCACCTCAGGCTGGAAATTACAATATACCACCTACCTGGCTGCTTCTCTTTTCCTGTTCTTCAAAAATCCTGGAAATTCCAGCAAGCAGCTCCATCCGGCTATGGTTTGGCATTCAGTTGGGTGTGATGTATTACAGAGTACATAAATGCCATCAGGGTGATTCATTGATGGTGACTGATTAATACTCTGGTATTTCTGTACTTTTAATATAGATTTTTAAAATGTGATGCCTATCATGTCTGTCTGTGAAGTCTATTGACTTCATAAAACTTGTAAATATATATCTAAATTATCCCTTTTAGTGTTCTCAGACAATGTAATCCAAACCATAGTTTTAGAGATAACCTTTTTCTCACTATCCTACTTTGTTTCCTTTAATCAAAGCTAAAATTTCTCCTGAGTGAGAAATCATTTAAACATAAACATGGGCTAAGGAGTATATACATTACCTCCACCTCTCTGGGGGTGGAAAGTCAGTGAATTCCTGTGTGAGGAGTGTGTGGACATTTTTGATCACTTGGGTTTGACTCCAGTTTTGGTGAATAAACAAATGAAGCTGGTTCAGCAAACCCATTTATTGATTTATTTGTTTAAAGACATGTATTTTACACTGATGCCATGGAGACAACGCCACAACAGGGTAATTTAGTGCATGGAAAGAGAGCATTCACATGTGTGTGAGTTGAGGTGACATCACCCAGCTAAGGACATCTCAGCTTGGACTGGGGAGCTCAGTGTGCTGTTCATGTTGGTCAAAGGCAAAATGTTCCTAAATTCATAACTGAACCAGCTCTCTGGGAGTGGGAATAAGCACAATTCTTGAGCTGACTCAATAAAAAGAAAGAAAATAAATTGGATTTTATTTTTTTATATTTTTTCTCCTAATTGTTCTAAAACAATTTAATTTTAAAATCACCCCTACTGAAAAATCTTGGATATTCTTAATATGCATCTTAAACTTCCTGTTGCCTTTGTCCCTTTTTCTTCCCATTTTGCTCTGAAAAAAAGGAAGAAAGTAGGGGAAAGGCTACAACAGAAAGAAGTTTGTCAGATTTTCTAATAATCCCTAGAGTTCTCTAAAATAGGTTCTGTTGATTTATTACATGCAGTTTAGTTTTGAAATAGTTGTGCTAATAGTGCCAGGAGTTACTGTAGGGAATCAAGTCATTACCAGAGCCTCATGTAGGAAACTTTCCTAATGCATTCTCTTTTCCTTAATCCTCACTGAGAGCTCGCTGGGGACGTGGCTCCAGGAGGGAGGCACAGGGAGCTGAGCTTCACCAGTGGGTGCTGGTAAAACTGGAAGGGAAAATGGTTCTGCTTACAAGCAAAATATTCCTCTCACAGGCTAGAAAATAGAGCAAGGTTGGATCATTCAGCTGGGAAGCTTTCAGAAATCGTATGAACATGATCCATAAACAACTTAAAGGATGACTTTTAAGAACCTCTTTCTCCTCCTGCTTGGTATGCTGGTCGTTTATCATTGTGCTGAAATGGAATCCCCTTTCAAAGATGGAACAGCTTCTTGTTTACTTAAACACAAAGTGGACCAGAGGCTGAAAGGTTTTTCTGCCAGCAGAGCAGTCAGGGAGAGCTTGGTACAGCTCTGGAGCCCAAACAATGTGCAGCCTCCACGTCCTGCCCGAGCCAAGCCAGCCCTGGGGTGAAGGGAGCTGGGGTGTCCTGGCCAGAGCTGAGTCCTCAGTGGTCACCAAGAGCCACAGGAGAGAACCAGGGCTGGGGGTGTGGGCAGGTGACCCTCAGAGGGACAGGAGCTCTCTCCTGCACTCCTCTTGGCTCCAAACCTCAGAGCAGAGATGGTATGGAAGCAGTACAGCCAAGATTGGATTCACCAGGGTTAGTCTGGGTGAGCTTCCCCTGCCCTGTGCCCTACCAGGGGAGTTGGAGCTCCAGCAGCACGTCCCTGATCCACCCTGAGAGCCATGGCACATCCCTTGGGAGCAGAGAGCTTCTGCTGAACTCCAGAGAAATGAAACGTGTCTCTATGGATTTATACAGAGAAATCACTTTTTAAAACCCCAGGGCAGGGAGGGGGAGCCCCCCTGTGACACTGCCCTGAGCAGAGCAGGCAGCAAAGCCACACAGGGTGTGGACACTGCCTGGCACTGTCCTTGTCCCAGTTCCTCTGCCCAGCTGTCAGCTCTGGCAGAGCAGGAGAATCCAGGGAATTCCAGCCAGTGCTATGCACACAGGTAGTTTCTACCCAATCCATAAATTTGTTTCTCTCCTGCAGGACCTGAGCTGTGCCTTCCCCTCCCACCTGCCTCCCTCCTGCCACACATGGGGTGGCACCAGCTGTCCCCAGCCCGGGATTGTCCCACAGCTGGCACTGGCCGAGCAGAGTCACAATGTGCTTTTCTGCACAATGTGCTTTTCTGCACATAGGACTTCCATTGATTTCTACAGGAATCGTGTGTGCATGAAACAAGTGCAGAATGTGTAATGGAAACCTGCACTGCAGATAAAAAGGAGGTAAAAAAATGCACATGTATGGATCCACTGCCCATGGCAGAAGAGCATGGCTGCTGGAGCAGACCCCAGTCACAGTCTGTATGCATTAAAGAAATGTTCCAGCAACCTGTGGTTTGTTGGAACCTCTCATTTTCTCAATCTGCTGTGTGTTAAGTGGGTCCTTCAGTGGGGAGTTCCTCGGGGTGCAGCTGGAGTCCCTCTCACAGGACGGCTGATTTGTGCTGGCAGCGTTTCCTGGGATTTTCTTAAAGCTTTGGTGAGTTTCCCTTCCACAAGTGAGTCTCTGTCCTGTGGGACACCAGCCTCCATAGGGGCCAAGGTATGAACCACACACTCAGGAAGCTGGTTGTCATTTTGATTTTGGGTTTGTTTTTTTTTTTTTTAATTTGAAATAATTCTTTGAAGCAGATTCAGGGCAGATGCCACTGACCTCTTACCACAAACATGTATTTGCAATGATAAAGTCATACAGCTTAAAACACAAAATAAAGGGTGAAGGAAGAGAAAGAGGCCCCTGCTGTGTGTGTCTGGGTCCCAGGTCAGGGAGAGTGGCCACGTGGGTTCAGTCTCATCCCCTGGCTGAGTGGGGCTGTGTGCTTGGGCTCCATTTGAGGCCTTTGATCATGAAATCAATCCCATGTCTGGGTCCTTCAGTGGCTCATGCTCCACCTCTCCTCCCTGCAGTGTCCCCACAGAGCCCTGGGGACGCTGTGGCTTTGCTCCCACTCCTCAGCAGCGTTGTCCCACAGCCCTGGGCAGGGTGTGTGTGTGTGCAGCCTCCTTCAGGGTGTGTGTGTGGCCTCTGTCAGTCCGTGGGTCAGTCTGGAGTATATGTCTGTCTCTGGACACGTTACATGGTGTAGCAGTGCTCTGTTCAATAAAGCTTTCATATACATAGCAGCAATGGAGTCTTGCCATCCATGACACACTGCCAGCTACTGGGCAGGGCTAGCGGGCGTCGCGGGCACCGTGGCCCCTCTCTGTTTGTTCTTCCTCTTCTTGGTGCCAGACTTAGTGTCTTTGGTGTCTTTCCGATTTCTATTCCCATTATCTTGCTTTCCTTGCTCTTCCTTTTTCTTCCTTTTCCCTGCAGTAAAGCAAAGGGGCAGCGTGAGGTGGAGTGAGGGGAACAGATTGGCGCTGTCCCCTTCACCCTGTCCCCTTGGTTAATTCCTGCTAATTTAATCACTGCTCAGAGCCCTCTCCCCTCAGAACAATCAGCACAGCTGCAATCCTTGTCCATTCTGTAACAAGATAACCAAACCACCATTCATCCTGAAGGCTCTAATTCTTGGGAAAAACAGACCTATTCTGGTAGAGAGCTCCCATCATGGCAGCACACAGGCATGCACCCCTGGCTGCTCTCTGGCCAGGGAAGAAACTAAAATGGGTTTTTTTGGCACAGGTTGGACTCAATGATTTGGAAGGTCTCTTCCATCCTTGCCATTCTGTGAATTCTGTAAAATAGCTGGAACCTGTGGCACACAACAAGCTGTGCCAAGGATCACCCCCCTGGAGGCTGTGCAGGCATGCACAGCAGCACACAGACATGCACCCTGGCTGCTCTCTGCCAGGGAAGAAACTAAAATGGGGGTTTTTTTGGCATGGGGTGGAGTCGATCCTGAAGGCCTCTTCCAGCCTTGCATTCTGTGAATTCTGTAAAACAGCTCAAACCTGTGGCACACAACAAGCTGTGGCCCTTCCACCTGCAGCTCTCCCAGGTGCCATCCCATCCCCATCCCCTGCACTTCAGAGGAGCCAGCAGCTGCCCAGCACATTTGTGACACTGGACAATCGTCTGACTGCCTGTCCCTGAGCTCCCTGGGGCGTGGGGAGGGATGGGAGCCCCCAGCTCTGCTCACCTTCGGGGCACTGGCTCTTCTGCACCGTGCAGCGCCGCACCTCCGTGGTGGCAGGGCACAGGGACACGTCCCCAGAGGGCGCCTGCAGGATCCGCCGTGTCCGGTCCTCATTGCCCTTCTTGAAGCCACAGAGCTTCCTTTTCTTGGAGCAGGGCCCCCACGGCCCCCACTCACTCATTTCACATTGTGCTGCAGAGAACAAGAGAGCCCAGCTGTAACTCCTGGTCCAGGCCGCCCCAGAGCACAGCACTGCACCTCTCCCCTACCTTAGGCTGCAAGGGAATCTGTGCTTCCCCAGCAGGTTCCTAAATCCCTGAGCACCCCTTCGAGTCTGTGATTCCCCAGCAGGTTCCTAAATCCCTGAGCACCCGTTCTGTGTTTCCCCAGCAGGTTCCTAAATCCCTGAACACCCCTTCGAGTCTGTGTTTCCCCAGCAGGTTCCTAAATCCCTGAGCACCCCTTCGAGTCTGTGCTTCCCAAGTCCCTGAGCACCCCTTCAAGTCTGTGCTTCCCCAGCAGGTTCCTAAGTCCCTGAGCACCCCTTCGAATCTGTGTTTCCCCAGCAGGTTCCTAAATCCCTGAGCACCCCTTCGAGTCTGTGCTTCCCCAGCAGGTTCCTAAATCCCTGAGCACCCCTTCCTTGCCACACCACACCACCTCTGGGTGACAGCTCACAACCACCAGGGGCTGCTCCCCATCCGGGCTGGTTCCCAGAGGGCTCTGCCCCACAAAGGGCACCCTGAGGGGTTTGGATCATCACCTCCACCCCCTTGCAGCCCAAGCCAGGGCAGCCAGGGCAGTGCAGGGCTGCTTACCAGGACTGCTGCACTCCATGGTGCCGTTGGCAGCAGCGTAGCCTTCGGGGCACGTGACGTAGCATCTCCCTTTGTGCAAATACAAACCTTCCTTACATTTTGTGCAAAAGTTTCGACTGAAACAGGACTCACAGTTCTCAATTTTGCATTCTGGGGAGGGAAAAAAAAAAAAAAAGGCAAAAAAAATCACCAAAGCCATCATGTAGTTTGATGTGAACAGAAGGCTCAAGAAGCTCCACGCTGCCAAGCCAGGGGTCTTGCAGCAGCCAGGTCTCTGAGCATCCTGCCAGGCCTGGCTGTGCCACTCAGATGTGAGTTTTCTTTGCACCATCCCCTGTGCAGGACAGCCCTGTGCTGCAGCTCTCACAGCCAGCCAGCAGCAGCCCCTGCCAGGCCAGAATCAGGCAGGGTGGGAAGGTTTTGGGCTGGGGTTCAGCTGAGATCAGTCAGCCAAAGGGGACAGTGCAAAGGGCACAGCCCTGGCTCCAGCTGCAGCTGCAGGACAGGCTGCATGGGAAGGGAGCTGGATGGAAAGCTGGCTGTGAGGGTGCTGTGCATGGACCTGCCAGGGCAGTGATCCCCATGTCCAGCTCTTTCTGGTGCTCTGGCTACAAGATTCAAGTCAGGGATTTCACTCAGAGCTGCCTGAGGCTGGTGAGCACTAGAGCAGGAAAAGAGGCACTAAGTGTCTGAAAGGATCTCCCTCCTCCCAAAGGCTGCCAGTGTGGCAACCCATGTAACAAAACTGCCCAGAGGCCCTGCAAGGTCCCACATCCACAGCCTGTGCAGTGCTGAGCAAGGCTGTTCTCAGGCTGCCATGCTCAGCCCTGCCTCACCCCTTCCCCAGAGCCACAGTGTTGTGCTGTGATTTCAGGGTTTACCCCAGAACCCCGGGTCCCTCCCCTGATAATTCCCTCCCAGGTGTGTCAGTCCCCTCTCCTTTCCCCTCCCAGCACTGTCTGGCACTCCTGGCATTCCAGAAGGGCCTCGAGTGATTGGCAGATCCAAAGGATGCCCTCTACCCCTGGGGGGCATTGGGCCATCCAGGTGTCCTTTGTCCCTTTGTCCCTCCCCTCCTGTCCCTGCTTGGTGCCTCCCTGCCCCTTCCCTGCCCCTCTCCCCGGGGTTAAAGGAGCAGCAGCCACGGGCTCAGGGAGTTCTGTTGGAGCTGGTGCTGCATTCAGAGGCCTGAGGGCCAGAATAAAGCTCTGGATCCAAAGCCTCCATCAGAACCGACTCCTTTCCTTCACCATCCCCTTAAAGCTTCTCTGCCAGAGGGAAACCCCAGGAGCAGCCCCTGTTATGGGGGGAAGCTCCATCCCAGCACCACCAGAGCTCCTGCAGGCCTGGACTTGTCTGCAGTGCCCAACTGCAGCACCCAGGCAGGCAAAAGTGTCTGTGGGGTGAAACACCACACACCCAGGCAGCCAAAAGTGTCTGTGGGGTGAAACACCACACACCCAGCCAGCCAAAAGTGTCTGTGGGGTGAAACACCACACACCCAGCTGTAGGGGGATACAGTATGGGTAAATGAAGGTGGTACAGAATGTAATCTTATCCCCCAAGGAGTTGCAGCTGAACCAATTACTAAAGATTAGGAGCAGGCCTGATCTGAACAGGCCACACCTATAGCCAATAAGAACAGTGGTACAAAAGAGTGGATTGGTGGGATGTGGAGTCCAATGGTTACTGCAAGGACCAAGAGGAGTCAGTGCTTACAGGAGCTGCCTGTGAGAAACATTGAGGAGGTACAAAACTCTGGCAATATGGAATCCTTGCACTATAATGATAATAGGACTCTTGATATATAAGACAATACCCAGGCAGCCAAAGGTGTTTCTGGGGTGAAACACCACAGTGCCACTGTTGGGTTCAGCAGCAAGGCCAGACAAGCTCAGGCACGTCCTGTCCAGCTCTATTGGCAAATATTCCTATACCACAGCAGGTGCTGCCCTGCAGAGCCCTCCCCACAGCCTCCCCCAGCCTCACACTCACTGATGCACTTGTTCATGTCCGTGTTGCGAAGGCCGAAGTAGCCCAGGGGACAGGAGGGCAGGCAAATCCCGATCTGCCGGATGTCGTTGCGCTCCAGGAGGATGAAGAGTTTGGGGGAGCACCTCAGGCACCCGTTGAACTCGGAGCACAGGTCACAGCCCCTGGCACAGCCCTGGCTCAGCTCCGTGCTGACTGGAAGAGCAGCAGAGAGGCCCTGGTTAGTGCTGGGCTCTGCAGCACCAGCTGTGCCCCCAAACCACTGCACCAGTGGCATTAAGGGCAGGAATGGGGGCACAGCAAGGGCCCTGCAGCCCTGGCACACTGGTAAAGGATGCCACAGAGCCAGAGCTGTGCCAAGGATGGGCACAAGAGTCACAACGTGGCTGTGCTGAGGAGCAGGACCCTGAAACGGCCAGAGCTGTGCCCAGGGCTTGGCACTGCCCACGCCAGCCCTGAAACAGCCAGAGCTGTGCCCAAGGACCCACCCCAGCCCTGAAACAGCCAGAGCTGTGCCCAGGGACCCAGCACTATCCATCCCAGCCCTGAAACAGCCAGAGCTGTGCCCAGGGCTTGGCACTGCCCACCCCAGCTCTGAAACAGCCAGAGCTGTGCCCAGGGACCCACCCCAGCCCTGAAACAGCCAGAGCTGTGCCCAGGGACCCACCCCAGCCCTGAAACAGCCAGAGCTGTGCCCAGGGCTTGGCACTGTCCATCTCAGCCCTGCAACAGCCAGAGCTGTGCCCAGGGACCCAGCACTGCCCACCCCAGCTCTAAAACAGCCAGAGCTGTGCCCAGGGACCCAGCACTGTCCATCCCAGCCCTGAAACAGCCAGAGCTGTGCCCAGGGACCCACCCCAGCTCTGAAACAGCCAGAGCTGTGCCCAGGGACCCACCCCAGCCCTGCAACAGCCAGAGCTGTGCCCAGGGACCCACCCCAGCCCTGAAACAGCCAGAGCTGTGCCCAGGGACCCATCCCAGCCCTTAAACAGCCAGAGCTGTGCCCAGGGACACACCCTAGCCCTGAAACAGCCACCAGCTCTGCCCAGGACCCGGCACTGCCCACCCCACCCCTCTGCCTCCCATCCCTGGTGCCCATGTGGGGCACACACTAACATGGGTATTTCCAAGGGGTTCAGCACCTCCTGCTGCCTCCCCTGCAGTGCCTCCATGCTGAGGAGCACAGTTCATGGCCCTGGAGCAAAACTGTTCCGTTAATTCTGTCCCAGGCTGGATCTCCCCCTGACCCTGCCTATGTTAAATTCTCTCTAGCAGTCAGGAGGTGTCACTGCCCCCAAAATAGAGATGTGTTCTCAGCTCCTACATTCAGTCCAATAAAAATACTCAATCCCATGTCTTGAGAGTTTTCTGCTTTCAATTATCATATAAAATGCTGCTTGTTTTGAAACCAATGGCATTCTTTGCAGACTAGAATGCAGGTTATTTTTATTAGTTTATTATGCAAGCCATGTCCTTGTTTATAGAAAAGCTGTGTATTTAAAAGATGTATTCTTTTAAATACCATGTTTACTACACTTCAAAAGCAAGCACAGAGCAGTACAGTGCTCAAGTGTCAGAACTAGAGGTGAGAGAGCTGCTGTCCCCCTGCCATGACCCAAGAGCTGCCCTGTCCCTGTGCCATGACCCAAGAGCTGCTCTGTGCCTGTGCCATGACCCAAGAGCTGCCCTGTCCCTGTGCCATGACCCAAGAGCTGCCCTGTCCCTGTGCCATGACCCAAGAGCTGCTCTGTCCCCCTCACCATGACCCAAGAGCTGCTCTGTCCCCCTCACCATGACCCAAGAGCTGCTCTGTGCCTGTGCCATGACCCAAGAGCTGCTCTGTCCCCTCACCATGACCCAAGAGCTGCTCTGTCCTCTCACCATGACCCAAGAGCTGCTCTGTCCCTGTGCCATGACCCAAGAGCTGCTCTGTCCCATCACCATGACCCAAGAGCTGCCCTGTCCCTGTGCCATGACCCAAGAGCTGCCCTGTCCCTGTGCCATGACCCAAGAGCTGCTCTGTCCTCTCACCATGACCCAAGAGCTGCCCTGTCCCTGTGCCATGACCCAAGAGCTGCCCTGTCCCTGTGCCATGACCCAAGAGCTGCCCTGTCCCATCACCATGACCCAAGAGCTGCTCTGTCCCATCACCATGACCCAAGAGCTGCTCTGTCCCCTCACCATGACCCAAGAGCTGCTCTGTCCCCTTGCCATGACCCAAGAGCTGCTCTGTCCCCTCACCATGACCGAAGAGCTGCTCTGTCCCATCACCATGACCCAAAAGCTGCTCTGTCCCCTTGCCATGACCCAAGAGCTGCTCTGTCCCTGTGCCATGACCTGGCAGCCCCTGCTGCCTGTCCCAGCCCCATTTCCAGGCCTGTGGCTGCATCAGCCATGGGAAAAGACACCAAAGGCAGGGGTTCCTCAGCTCCCTGCTGCCAGCAGGGTCCCCTGGTCTGGATTGGGACCCCCAGGGATCAGCCCCATCCCTCCTGCAGCGCTGGGCTCTGGTGCCAAGCTCTGTCTCCATGGCAAAGGTATAAACTGGGCTCCCACTGGAAATTGCCCTTTACAGCATTAGCCATGACGTCAGGTTTTCCTTGTTCTCCCAGGGCTCGTCAGTCCCAGTTTTAATATGAAATCAATTTTCTATAATTTAATTTAAACCAGTTTTAATGTAAAACAGCTCTAACATGAGCATAACATAAAGGAGGGCAATTGGCTGCTCTGGTGCCAATTCTGCCCTGCACGAGCCCCTCCAGGGACCCTCTGGGCTGGAGGCAGAACTGACCCCCCCATGACCTCAGGGTGCTGGGAAGGATGAAGGTTTGACAAGAAAGTCTCACAGATATCTGTGCTTAGCAGAAAGATTTTTAAATGTGGAGTCTAATGAAGGAATAGACATGGAAGCAAGTTTTGATATAGAAGAAAAGAATTGCTGAGCCAGTCTCACTGGATAACCAAGGAGGCAAAGGGTGTGTTAGTTAGAAGGGGTTTTTATGGCTTAGAGCAAAGGATAAACCCACCCCAAACAAGAAGATGTTTTTACCAAGCAGAAAGAGAGCACAGGCAAACAAGTCAGCAAAGCTGCAAGTAGAAAAAGGTCTCAGAATTTTCCACTGCAAGAAAACTGAAAAACAACTTCTAGCTTAGACTGTAATGTGCTAACTTTTAGTGATTGGAGAATAGCAACATGAAGACAGTAATTATAGTAGTTATGATAGGCTATAGATAAAAGTTCAGGTATAGATTGGTTCTACTGTATTGAGATGCTCAGCAAAGAAAAGTCTAGAATGCAATGTGACCAAAAGAAAAGTATAGAATGCATTTGTAACCTAAACCAAAGGGTCTCCAGGCCTGCCTGCAGCTGGAGCTGACAGCTGTAGGCACAGGCTCTGTCCCCCACGACCCTGGAATGCTCTAACACCTTGGATACAATAAACTGCATTTTGGAGAGCAGCCTGGAGTCCCACATCTCTCATTTCAGCTCTTACATCCAGGACAGGTCAGGGCACATGGGGGGTGGGATTTGGGGATCTCTGCAGGCTCTTGGGGCACCCCAGGCCCTGCCCAGCCCCCTGTGATGCTGTAAACACACTCACACCAGCACAGCATCACCAGAGGAAGCAGAGAAGAAAAGCATTTCATACATACTTCGTCTTTGCCTCTTGCCCTTCACCACTTTGCTGCTGCCGGTTGGATCCATGGAGCTCAGAAAAACCACCACCACAAGCAGTCCAAGCTGCATAGTAACTCTCCAGAGCTGCAGCCCCTCCGTGCTGGGGTGGCTGGGGGAGCGTGCTCCACAGCTGGGGGCTCTGCTGCCCCTAAATCCTCAGAGCTGAGAGTCTGTGCACAGAGCCAGGGCTGGCACCATATCCACAAGCTGCAGCAGCACCAGCCAGCTCAGGTAGCAGGGAACATGGCTCTGCCTTCATCCCTGTCAGCAGGGCAGGAGCTCGGCCCCAGGGCTGTCCAGGGCTCAGCTGTGGGTGTTAGGGGCTCACAGTTTCCAGGGATGCTGGCAGGAACTGCAAAAGAAGAGGAGAATGGGTTAATTTGACAGACAGCATCACTCCCACGATGGCTGGGGGTGAGCACGGGGTTGTGGGGTGCACTGGGGGTGCTGGCAGATAGTGGTGTGGGGAGAAGTGTGCTCCAGCCTCATCCAAGGGTCCCTGTTACAGAATCCCAGAATCACTGAATCACAGAATCAGAGAATCACAAAATCACTGAATCACAGAATCACTGAATCACAGATTCACAGAATCCCAGAATCACAGAATCAATCACAGAGTCACAGAATCCCAGAATCCCAGAATCACAGAATCGATCACAGAGTCACAGAATCACAGAATCACTGAGTCCCAGAATCACAGAATCCCAGAATCACAGAATCACAGAATCAATCACAGAGTCACAGAATCAATCACAGAGTCACAGAGTCACAGAATCCCAGAATGATGAGGTTGGAAGAGACCTCTAAGATCACCAAGTCCAACCTATGCCCTAACACCTCACCCAGACTATAGCACCAAGTGCCATGTCCAGTCTTTTTTTAAACACATCCAGAGATGATGATTCTACCACCTCCCTGGGAAGAGCATCCCAGTACTTTATTATCCTTCCAGTGAAAAACTTTTTCCTAATATCCAACCTATCCTTTCCCTGACATAGCTTGAGACTAATAACCAGTTTGAATGCTCAGTGCATCTTTGCCATCTGCCAGTGCTGCAAACAGTAGTTATGGCTGGAACTTGTTTCAAACAGAGCCAGAGCCCTGGGCTGCCCTCCCCGAGGGGCAGATGGCTGCTGTGGGTGCCAGGCACACAAGATGTTTCCCATCAAGGGGGCACCTCTGGGGCTCGAGCCCAGCAGAGAGCCAGCCTGGTGTGTCTGGGGACGGGGTGGGATCCTCTGCCCAGAACTGCTGCTCTTCTGCTCGCAGGGAATTTCCAAACCTCCCATCTCCCGTTCATTCCCCGAGGCACAGGGCAGGGTCAGCGCTGCCTGTGCAGGGCTGAGAGCGGGAGCTGCTCTGCCCTGGGCTCACCAGCACAGAGAGACTGGTGTGGGGCAGAGAGAGAGCCTGGTGTGGGGCAGAGAGAGCGACCCTGGTGTGGGGCAGAGAGAGCCTGGTGTGGGGCAGAGAGAGCCTGGTGTGGGGTAGAGAGGCTGGTGTGGCGCAGAGAGAGAGATTGGTGTGAGCCTGGCATGGGGCAGAGAGAGCCTGGTGTGGGGCAGAGACAGCCCAGCAAGGGACAGAGGCAGCCTGGCGTGGAGCAGAGAGCCCAATGTGGGGCAGAGAGAGCCTGGTGTGGGGCAGCAAGCCCAATGTGGGGCAGAGAGCCTGGCACAGAGAGCCTAGCATGGAGCAGTGAGCCTGGTGTGGGGCAGAGAGGGCCTGGTGTGGGGCAGAGAGCCCGGGATGGGGCAGGGACAGTCTGGTGTGGGGCAGAGAGAGCCTGGTGTGGGGCAGCAAGCCCAGTGTGGGGCAGAGAACCCAACATGGGGCAGAGAGCCCGCACTGCCCTCACCAAGCCATGGCACAGAGTGGCCCAGTGTGCCTGGCAGGACAGAGCTGTGAGATGGCAGCACCAGCAGCACAGGCTGGCACCAAACCAACAGCTCTGCATGAACTTGGGGAGAGAGAAGGGAAGCCCAGCTGCCAGCCAGGACTCCACATCCTTTCCTGAGAGTGCCCAAACCCTTGCTTAGCTGGCTCCTGGCATTTCCCCTGTACTTTTCAAGTGTTTTTCCCTGTGCCCTGTGTAAGGAAGGGCAAGTTCCACGCTGCACCAAGAGCTCTGGCCCTGCCAAGCCAGCCCCACTCCTCTCTGCAGCTGGCAGAGCCAAGCCCTGCCAACAGCAGACATTGTGCTGGAATGGAGGCGACAACATCTGCTCTGTGAAGTCAAATGAAACAGAAAATTGTTTTAATCCCTTTCTAATAACTGCGCAATCACCGATGCCCCAAACAACTGCTGGCGACAGAGCTGGGAGTGAGCCTGGACCCTGCCTGGGATGGTCCCCACGGGGCTGTCCCCTCCCTGCCCCACCCTGCCTGGGGGACCTGCTGAAGGGCCACTGGCACAACACCCCCTGCCCCAGCCCACCGGAGGGGGAATGGCCACACAGCAGAGTACCTGGAGGGAGGGGGCAGCCCCAGCAGCATTGGGCTGCTGTGACCTGGGAATTGCTGAGCCTTGTGGCAGCCCAGGGCACAAATACTCAATGTGCCTGGCTCACCTGTATCCCCCTGTCCTGGTGGCTCTGAACCTTCCCCTGTCCCCCTGTCCTGGTGGCTCTGAACTTTTCACTGTGTGATCCAGGTATTGCTGAGCCTTGTTGGCAGCCCATGGCACAAACACTCCTGGCACTCACCTGTGCCATCACCACTGTCCCCCGACCCTGCTGGCTCTGAACCTTTCCTTGTCCCCAGTCCTGCTGGCTCTGAACCTTTCCTTGTCCCCAGTCCTGGTGGCTCTGAACCTTTCCCTGTGTCCCTGCCGGGGCAGGAGCCCAGCACTCTCCATGTGCTTGTCATTACAGCCCACGGCTCCTCCGCAGGATTTTCAAATAAATAATTAGTCACTTGTGTAAACACCGACTTGTTCTGCACTTCCAAGCCTGTTTGCTGCAAGCTGCTTTATAAACACTGTCAAGTGCTCCAGCTGGGCTGGTGGAGCATGCAGGGAGCTGAGCACAGGGGGATCCACACAGCTCCTCCGCTCTTGGAGGGCAGCAGGGTCCCCTGGACAGGTGCTGTGGGACAGTCCCCATGCCCAGCACGGCCACAGCACCCTGGGGATGGCATCAGTGCAGCACAGCCCGGGCTGTCCCCAAGGAGCCGCTCCCGGAGTTTCATTCCGCCGTGTTTACACAACACTGCCAGCCTGGCACAGCCCCCAGCGTGGGGACAGCAGCAGGGATGGGTGTCCTGATGGGGCAAACACAGCCCTGGTGTGCCAAGAGCCAGCATGGAACTCATGGACCCCAATGCTGAGGGCAGCCAGGGCAGGAAGTGCCACAGAAACCTTGAGACTGCAGCACAAACCAAGCGAGCACACGCTTCTGTCACAGACATCTTTTATGGAAAATCCTTTCCTTAGGATTGTTCCTCCTGAGAAGCTGAGAGGCCTCAGGAACAAAATGTAACCAATGGTTATCTGCTGCTGTGGAATGCAACAGGTGCATCTGGGATTGGGCTCATGTGGTTGTTTCTAATTAATGGTCAATCACAGTCCAGCTGGCTCAGACAGAGAGTCCGAGCCACAAGCCTTTGTTATCATTCTTTCTTTTTCAATTCTTAGCCAACCTTCTGATGAAATCCTTTCTTCTATTCTTTTAGTATAGCTTTAATATAATATATATCATAAAATAATAAATCAGCCTTCTGAAACATGGAGTCAGATCCTCATCTCTTCCCTCATCCTCAGACCCCTGTGAACACCGTCACACACTTCTCCCTCCTGGTTTCCTTGCTTTCTAGCCCAAAGAGAGCCTGGGCTTGGCCACAGCTGCTGCCTCAGCACAGAAAGGCACTCTAGGTGCTGTCTTGGCAGGTCCCACATGAGCCACAGGTCCCCCAATCCCCCCACGAGCACCTGGGGGTCTGTGGGGAGCTGTCTGGCTGGACTGCCTTCCCCACCCTCCCTGCAGCACACGAGTTATGATTCTTTCTGTTACTGCAGCCATCAGTCAAGCTCAGGTTGCTACAAACAATTTCCAGTCTAAACATTCGCAGGATTTATGCCATTATCCAATCTACAGGAAGAATTTGGGGTAACCTGAATTGTTCTGAGTTCATTTATGGAGAGACCTGGCCCCTGGATCTGAGATGGCACTAAGCCTTGTTTGCAATTCAATCAGGATAAATTGGTCCTTGGGAGCTGCAATACAAACCAGAAAATGTAAACCATCCAGATAATTTGCCATTAGTCCTCCTACACACAAGGTGAGAAAGACCAACATTATATCCCCAGGACATTTGAGACCTAATCCACAATAACTAAATTGCTGATATATTGCCTCTTGCTGAACCTACTAGGGATCCCAAATGTAAACAGGCTCTCCAAAGGTTTACTGAGCCTTGGAGAGAAGGACCAGATGCTGGAGGCAGGACAGACCTGGTTACAGCAGGAATGAACCCCTGGGAACTGCCAACAGCCCAGCTGTGAGCTGGGGAATTTGGGTTTCCAGGAGCTGCATGGAGAATTTGAATTTCCTCTGTGTGAACATGCACAGAGGGGCTTCCTGCAGGAGGAGCCATGGTTTTGTAGGGTTTGTTTGGTCCCACATCTCCCAGTCCTACACCCAGGACACACCACCCTGCGGGCTCCAACACCCAGGACACACCACCCTGAGGGCTCCAAACCCAGCACACACCACCCCAAAGCCTCCAACACCCAGGACACACCACCCTGAGGGCTCCAACACCCAGCACACACCACCCTGAGGGCTCCAAACTCAGCACACACCACCCTGAGGGCTCCCAGCACCAGCACACACCACCCTGAGGGCTCCAAAACCCAGCACACACCACCCTGAGGGCTCCAACACCCGGCACACACCATCCTGAGGGCTCCCAGTACCAGGACACACCACCCTGAGGGCTCCAACACCCAGCACACACCACCCTGAGGGCTCCAACACCCAGCACACACCACCCTGAGGGCTCCAACACCCAGCACACACCACCCCAAAGCCTCCAACACCCAGCACACACCACCCTGAGGGCTCCAAACCCAGCACACACCACCCTGAGGGCCCAACACCCAGGACACACCACCCTGAGGGCCCAACACCCAGGACACACCACCCTGAGGGCTCCAAACCCAGCACACACCACCCTGAGGGCTCCCAGTACCAGGACACACCACCCTGAGGGCTCCAACACCCAGCACACACCACCCTGAGGGCTCCAACACCCAGCACACACCACCCTGAGGGCTCCAACACCCAGCACACACCACCCCAAAGCCTCCAACACCCAGCACACACCACCCTGAGGGCTCCAAACCCAGCACAC